CCCAAGGGATGACGAGGTCAAATGGTCATAAACTACTGCAAGACCTTTTCAGGCTGGACATAAGGAAGAATTTCTTTACTGACTGAGCCCCCAAGGTCTGGAACAGCCTGCCATCGGAGGTGGTTTAAGCACCTACATTGAACACCTTCAAGAGCAAATTGGATGCTCATCTTGCTGGGATCCTATGACCCCAGCTGACTTCCTGCAGGGGGCTGGACTCGATCTTCTGAGGTCCCTTCCAGCCCAAATGTCTATGAAATATGAAATAAGCTGCAGAGCATTGCTAGTCCACCTTTTTCATCTTTCTCCCTGTTAATAGAGAAGGCTGTTTGCATTCCTGCTAATTTAATTCTCACTTTGTCTAGGCAGATTTCAGTCTACTAAATTGATGAGCTCCACAACTGCCTATGGGCAAGTTTCTTTGCAATGGGGCTTCTTGACTGGATAACCTCCAGAGGTCCCCTTCAAGCCTTACTTTTCTATGATTCTGTGACGGGTCATGTCATCACTCACTGGCCACATCTAGATGAGATGCTTACTGTGCCGTAGGTTGTTACTACTGTGCAGTAGCGTCATGGGGCATAAACTGTGATGCAGTGCTACTGCACAGTAAGTATCACCAGGCAACCATGCAGGGACACTACTGTGCAGTGACATTGGTTACTGTGAAGTAGGGCTGTGTGAAGCTTTGGGTGCTGATTCAACTTGCAGAAGATTCAGCCGGATTTGGTGGCAAAAGCTGCAAATCCAAATAGAATCAGGAAACCAATGAAAAGGTCCAAATCAATTTGGAAAGGATTTGGAGAGCTTCAGCAATTTGGACAGTCCCCACTTGCTGCAGCAGTGAGTTGGACCCAGACTCCATGCTGATAAAGTAGGGGCGGGGGGAAGGGGTTGGAGGAGGGGGAGGTGGGCCCTGCCAGGCCCCATCTCCTGCCTGCTCCCCAGCCCCCCCCCACTGCTCCCAACCCCCACGTGCTGTCCCAGCCCCAGCTCCTAGCTTTTTAAAAAAAGCCCCACTCACTAGCTGCTGCCAGGTGGGGGGGGGGGGGCCAATTCCCACCACCCCTTACTGCCCTGCACTGCATGCAGAACTCTGCCACAAGCCCTTATTCCCTGCCCACTATCCCAGCCCCCACCATGGCAGCCCTGCCTGCCTCAGTTGCTGGCCCTTAAAACAAACAAACAAACAAACAAACAAACAAACCCCACTCACTGGCTGCTGCAGCAGCCTTGGGGCTTCTGGGGGCTCATTGCAGAGCCCCCCTGCACAGCATGGGGCAGTGGGGAATCACGCCCCCCCCCCGCAGCAGCTGGTGAATTGGGGCTTCTTTTTAAAAAGTTAAAGAACTGGGGTCAGGGGTGGCAGTGGAAGAGCAGGTGGGGGGTTGTGGGACTCATGGTAGGGGCCCCCATGCAGCACAGGGTAGTGGGGGGAAGCAGGGAATCACCCCCCTGCCTGGCAACAGCCAATAGCTGGGGTTTGTTTGTTTGTTTAGAGCTGGGAGAATGGGTGGGGATGGAGCTTATTTCAAGATTTGTCTGTAGCTAAGTCTCTGAATCAGATTCAGCAG